TAGAAAAAAATTGAAGTTCCAATTGTTTAAATAAGAGAATAATCTTTACTAAAAGTCAACTCGAATGTGAAAACTCGAAGGCTTAAGTCAAAAGACGTTAAATTTACATCAGCTTACAATTTGGTCTACATCTGCGTTTTTACGTGCATACGTATAACAGCTATAAACTTGCTATAAAACACAGTACAGCAAGGAATAGAAAAAGGGAAATTTAATATCACTGCTCTCGCCAAATATCTGTGCCCTCCATAGAAAAAAATTGAAGTTCGAATTGTTCAAATCATTACTGAAAATCAATCGCTCGGTAAAATAACGAGCACGGGCAAGCGTTACTTCCTCTAATTTCCCACCGTCCTTTCCACGGACGAGTTTATCGGATTTAAAACCGCTTTCGTAAGATGTCGAAACGAGAGGGAAAACGAGTCTTCATCGAGGCTTCTTCGATCTCTAACGTAATGTAAAGTTCACCGAACGATCTCTGTCTTCTTCCTCGAAATTTCCTGTTAACCTTGTCCCCCATCCTCCCATTCGACATCCCTCCCAAGTGTTCGATTCCCATCGGCTCCTACGTTCCCTTTTCGACGATTATGGCGTGGACAGGATCGAAAGGAAAATTTGTCCACGGCTATCATAGACGAATTCTGAATCTTAATCTTCGCGGTAAGTTCTTTACACGTATTTCCATCAAACGAATTCATCTATGATAATCACGGACAAACTTTCCTTTCCACCTTGTACGCGATCAATCGATTTTAATACAACGTGTTTTTTAAGCGTCAAACGACCGATCACGTTGAACGCGAAAAGCGTTAAATTAACAGCGATAAAGACTATTTTCTTCAACGGGACTGTAAAAATGTTATTTAAACATTTGTAAGCGTATAAACTTGGAAAGTACAACGGCAAAGATCAGACGGTGAGTTTTTCAATTTGAAAGTATGATAGCATGATAAATTTAATTTAATTAATATTTAATATTCAGTATTCAATATTCAATATTTAATATTTAAAGTTTAATGTTTAATGTTTAATATTTAATATTTAATTTTAAAGTTTAGTTTTAAAATTTAAAATTTTATGTTTGGCAAAGAGCCACGAGCAAAGAGCCACCGTCGTTCTAGCAATCAGGCTTACTGTGCATCCCTTACTACGAATTCCAGCCCCTTAACAATAAAAGTTTGCAGGGATTTACCAGTTGCGCCTCTGTCGTCAAGAAAATTGAAATCTCTGACTGTACATTGGATGGATAGTAGGATAGATAGCAGAGATAAACGGTGGAAATAGTTGGGACATAGTGGATCCTGGATCCAGTAAGGATCAGAGTTAAATCGTCGCCGTGAAACCGTTTCCCCCACACGCGTTGAAACACGCGGCGACAGAGTTTGCCAGAAGCAATAAAGTTTGCCGCTAGTTCCCCAAAATTCCCCGGCGAGAAAAAAAAAGAAAAGCTGCGGCTTACGTAGTAGCTAATTGCACAAACGTGACGGAAAAGATAAAAAGGCAGTCAAGCCTTTTCAAGCTTCAAGTCTTCGTTCCGTGTCTTCGTTCTGTTCGATCTAAAGTTAAGCCTAGAGTTAGTCGATGCACGTTCCAACGGACCTTAATACATCGATCTTGACAGTTGGCAAGAAAATTGCGTTCCCTTAAACAACAGTAAAGCAACAAACAGTCGTCGCTTTTATTGCCCCCCCTTTTTTTTTCGTTCTTCTCGTTCTCAACGTCGTAAAACTACTAAACTTCCGTTAGAGGAGGGGAGATGTTTCGCTCGCAAGGGAAGAAAATGAAAATTTCTTGTCTCCCTTTAATCCTACGCTCGCTTCATGTAGCTTCGTACAACGAAAAGCAGCAGAAGTCCGCTTTTCGTCGTTACTTCGGTCTTATTGTTGGAAGAACGAATTGGAGGTTTGATAAGACTTGATCAAGTAATCGGATCACGGGGGAGAAAGATGTTTCATCTTTGTCAAACCAACATTCTTCTAGAAAATTTCTCAGAGCTGATGGAAACGTAAGCGTGATTAGGGAAAGGAGGAGAGAAAGAAGCTTTATAATAATAATAAATGTTACAACAAATTTCATATCCAAGTTTCTTCGCATGGCATTTAGTGTTTCAATTTCTTATGTTACGTATATATTAATACATAATATTATAGTATTATATACTATAATATTGTACTACTACAGTATATAATAATATTAGTACTATTATAGTATAATATATTTTATATATATTATAGTATATAGTAATATTATATTATATAATATTATATTAATAGTAGTATTATAGTAATATTGTAGTATATATTAATGTATAATATATATTAGTATATTATACTATATTACAGCATAGTGGGCACGATGAATGAACAGTTTCGAAAATATTAAAAACTATTAGAATGAAATAAATCGTTTCGAAAGCAATAGGTGTAATGGGAATGGTGTAATTTCGTGTTGGCCGCCCCGTCGCATCTAGACGCTAGAAGCTTAAGCCCGTGATTATTACACAACGCAGATTGGCTCTTGCATCTCAGCGATGCACGTCGATGGGAATTAAGACGACATTTGCGTATGCATTCAATAAGACGGAACGTTGAATCACTCGTCAACAAATCAGATCGTCATTGACTGGTTTGCTTGATTGACTGGCAATATGTCATAACACAGTCGCAACTAAAACGGTACTGAAACGTCAGAGAAGCAAGAAACACTGGCGTTACGAAACACCGTTTCGAAATTTATCATCTGCTTCGCGACGATTCGGAAAATGATTTCTCCACCTTGAAGGAAATATCGTTGTGACGATGTAACAATACTAATGTAAAAATACGTAAATCAAATTATCTTAAAGTATAATTCTTCACACTCTCCCCTTTTGTTACGTTCTTTATATGTTTTACATTCTCTATATTCTTTGAATTATTTCAGCAATCAGAAACACGACGACTCAACAACTCTGTTTAGTTTATATAATATAATATTATAACATTATACAGGGTGTTTCGTAACTTGTGAGAACTCCCACTTTGGGAGCTGATTGTACGCCTAATAATGAATGAAAAAAAGTCATATAAATATATGCCCTATCTGTCTTTGTTCGTGAGATGTAATGAATTTTATAAACAGAGCAAACTCTGGTAAGCTAGTTTCACCAGGGATGGTACGTTCAATTTTCATAATGATCATAATTGGGATGAAGAAAACCCACGTGTTATTGAAACACCCTGTATATAGTATATATATATATATATATATATATATATATATATATATATATATATATATTATATTATAAAAAATATATATATTATATATTATATATATNAAACACACTGTATATAGAATATATATATATATATATATATATATATATATATATATATATATATATATTATATTATAACATTACAATAGTATAACCAGTGGATTAGCTAGCACGTACACCTACTGTGTTATTACATGTACTTATGTAACACACGTTATTCCGTCAATTTAGTTTTTCGACGATTGAAAAATAACTTTATCGTTTTTCTTTTTCTTTTCTTTTTCTTTTTTTTTTTTTTTGAAAAATAAGAAAAGACAGCTAGCAAACTGAGAGATTAAACGAGGGGCTAAAACTCGAAAAACTCGAAAGACTCTGACAACTTAAATGTCGACATTGCTCGATAATGACCGGTGATGGGTAGAACACAGACGACTCGATCGCAAATCCGTCCGAGATGGAGAAGAGCAAAAGCATTTCGTTCAACAACGATGAACAAATTATACGTACAAACACTGCATCATCGATGCGTATTGCTATCGTAAGCTCCGAGAACAAAGGCGAAGCTCGAGCCAAGGCCACATACGCAACAAGACCTACTTTGTAGGACTTCCTTCTTGTCGATTAATACGATCGCTCGATAATATTGTTCGCCAGTGTGCGATCGTGTGTGTGTGAAAAAAAGTGCTGCCTGAAAAAAGAAAAAAGGAACGAGCACACCTCACACACGTTTCACGCCAATTTTTCATTGGCCAGAAAATATCATCATTCAGTCGGGAAAATATTTCATTGCCCACGATCGATCGAGACCGTTGCGTTTGAGAATGTGTAATTGAACGATAAAACGTTTAAGAGAGAAGATTTCGAATTTTTATTATTATTATAGTAGTAATAATAATTACATAATAATGATAATAATAATAATAGCAATAGTAATTATTAATATAGTTATAGTTAATAAATTGTACTAATAATAATGAATGAATTGGAAAGAAAGATTCCAGTCTGGAGAGAGCATGTGTAAAGCGCGGAGCGTAGAGTGTAAAAAATGTAGAATGTAGAACGTCGTTCGGCGGTGAATCGAATCGAATCGAAAATCCTTGTGGAAAGGAGATAATGGACAAAGTGCAATTTCCGCGGCGGAAATTACATCTACGGTGAAAAGCTTTGTTGACAACCACTCGGCGCGTAAGCAAACGCTGGTCTCTCGTGCGCGCGGTATAGTTGCTGCACGTCGCTTTCCTTCTCTCCTCGAGAATGGATCAACTGTCTCGCGGCGGCAGACAGAAAACGAGGAACAGCTGGGTTCGATACCTATAATTATTTATATGTGTGTATCGAACACGCGTACCATCGACGTTACGTCTCCTCGTCGTCGTCTCTGCTACGTCTCTGCTTTTTCTCCACTCTCTTTCAGAGCAATTCACCTATCCGAGACGAGCTCAAATTGTATTTCGAATTTGTCAAACACCTCTATTTTACCTTACAACGATCGAAATGATCAAAGTGTTGCAGAGAAGAGCTTCCATTAAAATTATTTTACATATTTCTGCATTTCAATTCTCCTTTGTACGTTTTCAAAACTTTTGTTACTTGCTGCGATATTTATCTTGGTTTTATTTTTTTTTTATTATTTTTATTTGCTGTGATATTTATCTTGGTTTTATTATTTTTTTTTTTTTTTTCAACAATTTCTTATCTTTCCTTCTTATGATTTCTTCGAGGTGCTTTTCAGCTGTCCTTTCGTTCTNTTTATTGCTTTCCTTTCATTGTTTCGCTACGAACTTGCAACGATAGGCAAGCGACAAGTTGATGAAAACTTCGAATTTATTAACTTGTGGCAGCTTTTGAGTTACGTTCCTCCGTTGAAACTAGGTGTGACTTTGACGGGCACTCGAAACGAAAGTGACGAAAGTGACGAAAGTTGACGAAAAGTTAGTTGACGAAAAGTTCGTACGCGAACGGGTGCATTTTTAGTTAATTTGGCTACAAGGCAAGAGCGTTCCGGCGCTGCGGGTTTCTTTTCCCCAGCGAGAAGCGAACGGCGAACAAACGACCGAACCGATTTTAATCAACAGTAACGAGCACAGCCGGCTGATAAGTAGCTTTCCCATGGTACACGAGAAGCTCATTTTACATCCGGCCGGAACTTGGACGGAGGGACTGGGCAAGGCAAGGTAAGTAACTAGGTAGGTATCCACGGTGAAAGGCGACGTCGCGGTCGAGCTCGAGCTCGAGCTTTCGTCTGCTCGCTGGTCGCGAGCTTGCGGAACCCGTCAGTCGTTTCTCGCGTCTCGACGACGAAGCACCGTTCCCAACCCTCCACGCTCGACGCTCCTCGCTCGCCACGCTTTCGACATCCCCTCGCCAGGGGACAGGAAGCAGGAAACACAAACAGAGCAGTTTTTCCCCGCACTCGCGTCCCCCTCGTCGCGTCGTTTCTTCTTTCCGAAATTTAATTTAATTTAATTTAATTTAATTTAATTTAATTTAATTTAATTCCGTCGAAGCGAGCAACCAACATGCACCTACTTTCGTTTAATTTCATTCCACCTACGCCTTAATTTCTTCTTTACATTCTTTCTGGTCTTCGATTCTTCTGGCCATTTTTCTTTGTTCTTTCTTCTTTCTTTTCTTTCTTTTCTTTCTTTTCTGTTTTTCTTTTTTTTGCGGGGGGAGGAAGAGGGAGCCGAACGAAAGCAAGCGACAGAGAACAACTCGTATTTGTATTCGTCGATTCCGTCGACGCGAAAATGAACGAATTCCTGAACCGATTGATGAAAAGAGGAGGCGATTAAAATAAATAAATTTTTTCGAGTGATCGACGTACGTATACGTGCGTTTCTTTCTCACCCACCAATTGTCATCATTACGTAAGGGTCGATGGAGGATTTTAAAGACGCGAACGTCAGTTTCGGTGTCTCTCTCTCTCTCTCTCGGAATGTTTTACGACGCGACGATGAGAGCTAGCTGACTTTTTAACTGAGAGAGAGAAAGAGAGGAAAAGAAGAAGAAGAGGAAGAGGAAGAAGAAGGAAACGAGAGAAAGAGTTCAAAGAGATTGCAAAGCATGGTGGATAAACTGCACGAGTACGAGGGTTTGGCTGGCAGGGTGCACGACGTCAGAGACAAGTTTAAAGAGAAATGGGAGACATGGAAAGAGTGGAGAAATGGGATACCGATGGACCAGGGGATCGAAGGGTTTTTGAATCACCTGCGAGGACCACCCAAATTGGAGAGAAGTTTGGACGATTACGAGCATATTTACAGGTATGTTTCTTTATTTAGCCATTCCATTATTTAGTTTTCTTTCTTCCTTTCTTTTTCTTTCTTTTTACTTATTTTACACGTTCCACTCGTCCAGAATCATCAAACTCGCTGTTGGCACGCAAGCAGTGTTGAACGATTAACCTTCCAAGTACCAACGTCCCCATATACGTCGACACCTATCTATATAATATCTGAGAAAGCCCAATGTATTATTGCAAATAAATTATAATAAATTATTGGATTGATTAACTTTGAAAATATAGGAATTAAATAGTAATTTATATTGAAAACGTGTAAAATTAAACTTCGCCTGGCCATTTAAAGAGGGATTTAAATACCCAATCGTCCTTAGAAGATTAAGAAACATTTACCTCTTTTACCATTTCTCAAAAGAACTATTACTCGTGGAAAAGTTTCACCTTCGTGGCGAGTGGAATACACGATATACAAGGTCAAGGTTTCTTTACGTATCTTACACGTATCCCCGTCAAATCGAAGGTGTAGAATTCATCCACGACTTGACTTTCCTTTCCACCCTTCTGTGTATCCACGTGTATGCGTGTCGCGACGCGACGTATCGACGCGAGAAGAGACAACTTTCACGAATATTCAGTTTCGCGAGCCGACGACGTTTGTACGACCGTGTTGCAGGAAAAAGACACGGGCAGAGTTGGTACGGGTATCCGCGGCCGTGATGGGAATCGAATTTTCGTACGCCGCGGAAACAGCGTTCGTTTCACCAACCTTGTTGAAAATCGGCGTGGATCACCAGCACATGACCCTGGTCTGGGCCCTCAGCCCTCTCATCGGCTTCTTCGTCACGCCAATTTTGGGAAGCTTGAGCGACAGGTGCAGATCAAAATACGGAAGGAGAAGACCGTTCATCCTGTTACTGGCCCTCGGCGTTTTGATAGGTAAGATTACTTTACTGTGTTGGACCAACTCCAAATTATTGCATACACTTAGAAGGAAAGGTTTGGGTTAGATTCTAATGAAATTTGGTCTGTCGATTCGAACAGCAAATATAATTTGACTATGTCCGTGCTTCAATCTTTTACAGATATACTCTAGAGATGTAACTCTTTTCTTAATCTGCAAGCAGTAACGTAGCAGCGAAACTGATAATGTAGTGGATTCATATTCGGAGGTTCCAGGATGTCGTCGAATCCTCCCAGAGAAGATTGATATTTTTGTATCATCTCTACTTTTGTTTTCTTTTTTTTTTTTTTTTATTTTTTTTTTTTTTTATTTTTTTTTTTTTTTTTTTTTTTTTTTTTTTTTTTTTCAACAATTTCTTATCTTTCCTTCTTATGATTTCTTCGAGGTGC